TCACAGCAATTATCTACGCTGCACTATATTGCAGTTACTATCCATGTTAAGCAAAAGATTGCGAATGTATTTTTGTTTAATACTTCACCTGATACCTGTCCCGGTTGCTATAGCTAGTGAATAACGTGACTTAGGAGCGAAAATCAGTATCATATATTACCTACCATCCTCGTTCAATCGGTGAATCTATCACGTTGTATTCATGGTTTCATTTTCTCTTTTTATTCTCAAAAAGGGAAAAAATCCGAGAAGTGCCTTGATACGACAGTCTTAGAATAGCGAGAATTTGGGCACGAAATATAAGACTGCCCGATTCTTAAACGGCACGCTGACAATAACAAACTTAGCGGATCTAGATCATCTTGCTACCAAATCGCTTGCGGGAAAACACACTAATTCAATTAGTCAACTTTGTAAAAGGTGTGATGGACTTCGAATTATAGACTAGCTTACGAACGAAGAGATTAGGAATGAAGTAAATAGTAGGAAATAGTAGGAGAGTTCTCAGGGTTAGGTGAATTAGAACCAAAACCTCTCCCGAAGGTTTCGTCTGGGTCCGCTCCATTCGATTTCCTTGGATGCATCGTGCCAACTCTGCCGAATGATCTTCCACGCCTTCTCTCCAGTCCCCAGGAATGAAGAAGATTGAGATATTGAGTATTTCATAGGGCCTATCCGGAGCTACAATTACATGGTTATCAGGATCAGACCGAGAATTCCTCAAATGGATAGGGGGACAAGTGCGCGATATACGCCACTGTCCATAGGTAGTAAAGCGGAGCCGGCGTTCACTGACATTAGGTATATTGAAAATCCTAAAAATTAAGCAATATGTGGCTTTGAGTCGATATTCGCCCTTTCTAGACCGGGATTCTCAACTTGTTAGAGGGGAATCACATGGGAACTAGGAATTGTTAGTAGTTGGATAAGCCGACGTCAACGAAAGCATACTCGATGTCGGGTGGAATGGTCGGACCAAGTTCTTATGTGAAAGATGATCGATATATCATCTCGTAAAATAGTAAACTGTCCTCCATGCTGCCATTACATTACCCTGAACTACGTTTAGGGCGACGTGAGTCCTAAACCTGAAGCATTAGAGGGCAGAGAACCCCCCACCCAGACTATTGAAGACGTTATAATGGTCATCAAAGCTCTCGGTTAAAATATTTCTGGGTAAGTCATGTCTGCATGTGATGGATAGAAGGCTATATTTAAGTAACAACCTTTCTACATAGTCACCGCATTAGCTTCGGAAAGCATTAAATCCATTTTACCTGTGGTCCTACAAAATATGCCTAGTCAATAGATGAGATTATTGATCCAGAAAGCATTTAAATTCTTGATATAAAGAAACTCAACGATTTTCGAGCAGGCATTCTTGAGCATCGTGATTAGTGAGCAGTAACTCATTAATTTATAGCCCAATAAAACGGAATACACCATGGACTTAAAGTCTCGACGCCAGTCTGCGAGGTCTACTTTCCAAGGGTTAGTCTATGAATATACAAGTCGTAGAATCACGAACGATTTAGACTCATTAAATGCATTCAGAGGCATGCTGTCTTCTCTGCAAAGAACTTTATTGTCGCAAGAATTCGTTTAAGGGTTACCCCTAAAAGTGTTCTCGCAATCCACGCGATGGTACCACTTGCAAACTATTAAGTCCCACCGTCGTCCGGACTTCCTATCGTGGTCATACCTTAGATGGGAGAACACAGCAGTTTATAACGATAAGCCGAATTTCTCAATTAGTCCGAAGAGAAGATATGACAAGACTGCCGATATGATCCTAGGCTGCATTGTGAATCGAGGGCACCATTGGACTATCGATGGTGTACTTGTAAGACTGAAGGTACGGAACGAGCCGTTCAATAACGCCTACATTCCCGGGACAGGTTTTAGTATTGGCATCTTGCAAGAAAGTAACGTTCTTCATAAACATATTTTGCCTCCAGGTATTTTCGACTTTTTTGCGGTTGAGAGACTGTCCTTTCGATGCGCACTCGATAACAGTGTTCGTCACATCGTGTACATGATAATGCTATAAGGAAGCGCAGGATTCTACAGCCGGTGTGCGATGGTACGCTTGTTTGTTGAACCTGGACTAGACAAGCATCAGGACTATTCGGCATTGTTTTAAAAGCGCCGAGCGGTTCATCTCCTGTATAGTACCTAATATACAATATATCTAAGACTAGAAGGTACAACCAGTGAGTCGAATGGTGCCTCCAATAAGGCCGCGAGACTGGATGGAACTCATGTTAGTAAGGATAAAGTTATAATGAGAACAATGAATTATTTACTGTCTACCTGTAAGTCAGGTTTACTTAGTAAACTTGTCCCGGATGGCGACCAACCTAGAGCTCCGGTCCTAACTTTGGCAATGTTGTCGAGGAGTCTAACTACCTAACGTATCGGCAAAAGGATCAATAAGACTTGTGGTAGGAAAATCCCGATGCCCAACAGATATTGGGTAGCCTTACGTTCAAGCTAGGATCGAGCCCAATATATTTTAGAACACTATTTGATGTGTTAATAGATCTATGACCGTTTCGTAAGACAAGACTAAATGAGACAACCATCTCCATGTCTTGACTCGAATTGATCTAGAAAATAGTCAATGTTGAAGTCATATGCACGGCTCAAAACACAAAGTCGCTAGTTCGAATCGAATCTTCCGCCTAACTTTGTACGCCACAGCCATTTCAGGGTCCCCTGTCGTGAAACCGTGAGGATTATCGACCTGTAATCTATCTTACCCACAAGAACGTAATAGGGGAGGCTTCAAATCATGTTAGCTGAAAGATTCTTTTATAAACCCGTTAGTCTGTCGGCAGTATGACTTCCCGGCAATAGCTTAAAAGGTTTTCTCATCTGTAAGACGAGAAGAATTATATCTAGGTAGGTAGGTAGCTATGTCGTTACGTAGTATCTATCTAATATTTGCTTATTTGCAGTCACTTCGAAGCATCAGCCCTATCTACGATCGACCCTGTCATCAATCTTACCGGCAGTCTATGCAAGATCTACATAAAATGCAGATCGATCGACTATCGACAGCCTCAAGAAAAGTACTCGCCGGGATTTGGTTCATTGGTTCAGAATTTCTCGGGTTTGATCAGCCTCGGAAATAAAATGCGCTAATGCACACCCGGCCGCATAAATTCAGTCAATGAAGAAGAGCAGTTCGAGATCGCGACGCCTCTTTGCTGCATAGAAGCATAAGTCTGTCTATGTAAGAAAGCTTTGGTGTGTACAGTTATGTTTCGGGTATTATGCAGCGAGGATCCCTCTGTGTGTGGTTACAGTTCGTAAGTTGAGTTATTCCGATTTGGCGATCTCGAATATCTGTAGATGAATCTATTAAGACATAAGGCTGGAGGCGTTATGGAACGATTGATTCAAGTGTCTATATGCCAGCCACAACGGAAGGCACTCCGTCAAGGAGACAACGAATTATCGTTCTAGATGATTATCATGTGAGCGTCCGATAGTTGTTCTAGAATCCCATAAGCCGTCATGGAAAAGTTTAGAAAATGCATAATTCATAAATATTTAATCGTGGATAATTTTGCGTGCCGGGGCGTGTGTTTATCCTCATTAATGCCAAGCGTACCTGAGTTGGGTTTGCCCTGTGTCAACGAGCCCTGTGTTAGCGAAATGAGGCTCTACAATAGCAGCTTCTCATTCACTAAGGTGGCCATTAAATTAAAGCCAGTTGGGACTTACCTTACGGATTTAATTCGCCATCTTGTAACCTCTTGTTTCTACATAATTTTTATTCTATTAGCTGATTTGTGCTGACGTATCAGAAGTGACGTAGCAAAATACTCACGATCATAACACAGGATTCGCGTCTTGGACGTTCAAGGGCAAATATTTAAATTAGATGTTATTTTTACACTATGACGACCTCACAAGCCTGGGTGAGGCTTGGACTAGGGGAGCGTAAATAATAGCCCCGGACTTCTTGACGTATTCCCGCGCCCCGGAAATTCCCAGGAGTGTGGTAACCCTTGCAAAGAACCCTGTAGATATGCACAATATTTTACCCCTGACCCTTGTCGACATGTTTATTGTACTTCCCAAGATCCAACAACAAGTGAAAACTTCCGATTTAGATCTGTCCGAGATCTTTAAAGATCGTGTGCAATAGAAGACCATTATAGACCGTTGATTTGCCGTACATTTGTCCCTAATAGCCTATTCCTTATTTGATTACTGATCATATTTCACTAGTCTTACACCATTTCATTCTACAGAAACTAGTTACTTTGCCCCGTTTTACAGGCCTCAGCCTTGGCCTAAGTCTGAACATAGCATATCCCTTAATATTCGATCTTGTACGTTGTGATTATAGCATCATACCGTAGCTATTGACGCATTTTTTAGACTAATATCTCCGCGGAAGAGTTGAGCATGTCAAAATAGTTACTCTACACTATAGGAGGAACGAGACGTCACTTCTCTCTTTTTCAGGTGAATATGGAACTCCCTGTCCAAGAAAGGGCATTCTATTCTTGGCGGGGACAATACGAAGTGACTATTTCCTTGGGGGTGAGGTCCGGGCTTGATACTTTACATTTAACATAGGCATATACCTGTACTACTATTTGAGTCGTGTTTCTAGAGCCTCACCCCCTGTGGTGATATATCAAAGAAACCCGTAAGTCGTTGACACGTAACAAATGACATAGGCGCGGACCCTGTTCAAGCGGAAATGTCCGCAAGTCACATAGAGCCCCATTCGAATAATTTATCCTTGCTAAGACTCTAGGGATTATGTCACAGTAAACGAAAGCATTGGTAAGGTTTCGATGCTTCTGAGACTTTGCTGGTGCCACTCAAGGACTCGAGGTTTAAAAGCTCGAGCAAGATTCCGTAGCTATGGCGGGATGTTATCTACTAAGCGTCAACGGCATACAGGTTTCGCTGCAGCCGAACGAGTTAGGAAACCACCAAAACCCATTCCTACACGAAGTAAATCTGCCGCAGCCATGGTGAAGGTTGAAGTCCAACCACCGACGCAAGTCCAGGCGGGAGCAGTCATGTACCCGCCACTCGTCGTGAGTTCCAAGAGCGATGATGCCTACGACTTTATACAGGTTGCCCTTATTGATTCCTACGGACGCGTTCTCGAGGACCAACTGTACGGCACACTAACGACATCCGGCAAGAGTATGCACGACAGATCTGCTTCCCGAAGCAGCCGAGTTAAGGAGTACTCTGTCTTCCCCGATCTTGTCATCAGCTATGCTGGCGTCTACGCTCTTCAAGTAAGCGCCATACGCATGGATTATGCATCACCTGATGGTGCGGCGGCAATCATCGCCGCATCAACGACAACGACACAAATTATTGCCTACGACCAGAGCGTCGCTGCGGAGATTCCATGTAAGCCTATAAATATTATACCAGTGTTAAATCGAATATTAATGCATTATATTCACAGCTCCTGATGAGCAATCTCTTCTACGAAAGCTACGACGAGATGGCGGATTTGGCGTTCCTCGGGCTCCCAGATAAGTCATCGCCAAATCTGTTGTACGCCTACGGAGATACTCTTGGATTTAGGAAATTGTGGTAAATTGGGACCTAACTTGTAGAAGTGGCGAAATAGAGGTGGTATAGAGCAAGAATGAGTGTACAAGATGCTTAGAACTTTATTAGAAGCCAATCTTTTACAACTAAACGAGTGAATTCTTCAAAGAACACTCGCACGGTATAAAAATTCAATTTAACTATTCTTACCATATCTACTAACTAACTCGACTTGATGTGACGATCATGGTCCTATATATGGTGGATTTAAAGGCTCTTTAAATTAAAATTAAACTTGGTTCATTTCAAGAATTCAATGTTATATTATGGGTTTTATGTTCAGTTGAATTGTGATTTCGTTGACGTTTTGTTAAATGACTTTAACTCAACAATTTAGTCAAGTTACATTAGGTAGGTTAGGTACACTAGTTACTTAGCACTATGAATGATTTAAATATGATGTACTTTTCAGAAACCATATAAATGTCATGTTTTATAAAACATATTCAGTGACTTTATTCCACTCACTTACGTATAATGTAACCATCACTAAATAAACTAACTACACAAAGCACGTATTATACAGTAAAATTCAAGGTTGAAGCTTAGAATAACTAATTCTATACATGATGACATACTTTCTATAAATTTATGATTTATCTTTGAAGGGCTGTCGCAGAGTGACAAGGGCGAGTTATGGGGCAAAATAGGGGTTGGACCGAATTAATTTGGCCTCGCTTTGACCTACCTCCCAAAAGATTTCTGAGCTATTATTCTTCCTAATACCCATCATAGATGACTGCCTCACGCTAGCTACTAAATATTCACTTGGAAAGTAAGGGGATAGTATGTGAATATCGCTGCATATACGAGCTACCTTGGGTTTGTGGTCTCAGATCAACGTTGAGTACTATGTATGTACAACACCGGGAATTTCTCATTCCGTGTCTATGGTGGCGGCCACTGGCCAATCAGCGATGATATTCAAGGCGTACAGTATGGGGAAATAATGAAGATTCTAACTCCATTCGACACGTCATTCCTATATCAATAACCACGGCCAAGATCATCGTCGTCGAGGCTTAGGTATAGACATTGGCGCACGTTGTATGTTCTAGAAAGATTCTCCCGAGGAGCTAATTAACTAGTGGCTACTACGTTATGTGATACGATAGCTCATTGAAAAGCAATGTAGAAAATATTAGGCATGGGTGTGGCTGCAGCCGACGGCGCCTCAAACCAAACATATGCCAATCTGGTATAATACTGAAAATTGATGTGAACCCTGACTTTATTGTCATTCTCATGCCCTATTATACTCGGATACGTTAAGTATTGTAGAATAAGAGCAACTAAACTTACGCTGCGATTTTATAAGGTAATTATACGTTCAATCATATTACCGAGGATAGAAGAATTTGAATTTGGTACGGTAAGTCGAGTCAACCGCATCTCAGTATCGAGATATGTACAACACCCCCTCTTGATGCCCGAATATACACTTCTCATGTCCATCTATGAGTATGTCCGATATTAAACGCATCCGAGACCCTGTGGCTTGCCTCCACCACGTATAGAGTCTATGATAGGTAAACTGCAATTCTTGAGGCCCAACTGCTCATACATCGGAGTTAAGGGACTTTGGTGCGTAGCTGGACGCCATGCCAGCCTTTCATCTGATCGCCTAGCACAGCATTAACCATTCTTTGCTGCTTTAGCATATTCACGCCTCGAAACTTCTCCGATGCAATCTCAATCCCGTACATGGACCCGCAACCACCTGATATGTCTTGAACCATAAGCTCCGTCGGTGAAAACTCAGCCGTTAGCTTGTCCCATATTGCCGACTCGGCCTCGTCGAGGTAATCTGGCTTTTCGGGAAGAGGTGACTCGGTCGGCGGGGTGTTAGCTGAGCTTGCTATTGTAGAGTCGGGAGAGGAGGAATAATGCCGATTAATGGCGTGTCTAACTCTGAAATGGTCGCTTATGGCTGGCTGAAATAATGTTCGTATTTGAGCTTGGGCCGAGGATATGTGTATTGGCTGGGCGTAACGCGACAATGTAGCAGAGCTTCGTTTAGGAGCTATCGCAACGAGGCGACGGCAATGGTGACACAGCATGACGATAAGTAAATCGAACACGCCCCTTAGTAAATGCAGAGGCTACCACCAGATGAGAGTGTATAGTAGAAAATCAGGTTTGCCGTATCTGCTGTACAGTATTATGTGAAGCTGGAAGTTGAAATGTTGAGGAATTACGGGAATTACAAATTACAAATTGCACTCAAAGTCGCAAACCAAATGTACGATAACCGTCTATCGATAGGTACGTACCTACGTAATCCTACATAATTGTCATCCTGCAGTCATTGATTGGCTAGACGTCTTAAGTGAATATCTGAGCTAAAGCAATTAAATTTACGGAATTAAAGGTACAATACTCCATTGAGAGGTATATGTATTAAACCAGATAAACTCAACTTTTTATAACCTGGACGTCATCTTCCCTCTTTTCCCTTCTCAAGATCAAGTCTTGTTTGAATACAATTTGTACTACTAATACTTTTATCAACTACAACTGTTTGAAGTATCAAAATATCAGACTATACACCGTTTGGAAATATAGTAACAATTAGCTTATCATCTATTTCAACCTGGATCCATATACATTTCAAGTGAAATACAAGGAGTCAGACCCGTATTCTTTATTTGCGTTTTCACCGAGAGGTAGCCCTGTTTGTGACATTAGATGCAATGCTCGCTATGCCTTTTCTTCACTAATATACAGATATCACATCTTCAAATAAACCGGATAGAGAAGTTTACAGACTCGTCAATATCATACTCGGCCGGATTGGCGGCATCACCGAAGATGTGCAGCGCTTCGAAACGCAGTTTGTATGCGCCTGCTGGTGCCCATGTGCCATCCGCAAGCCTTCCATTCCAAAACAGAGTGAAGGGATCGCGAGAGGCGTAGCGGAACGGTGAACCGAAAATGTGGCTGCCGGCATCTGCACCCGCGTAAGCAGTAGCATTCACTGGAACAACTTTGACGTTGACTTGGGGTGATCCGAATGCCAGCAGCCCTACAGCGACAGGGTATGTAGCGTTGACGGCAGTGCTGTTGGACTTCGGCAGCACGAACGAAGCGTTAGCTGTGATAGGGTCCAGCTCCTCGTCTGTCGAAATCGAGAGGTAACCAACATCCAGGACTCTCGTGCTATGTAGGCTGCCAACAGCTCCGTTGTATGGCAGAGACAGGCTGTCGCCATTAGTGCCATTCAGGGTAATATAACCAGAATATACAGGTAAGCGGGTAGCATTAAGCGCAGGTGGAGTAACGGTAACAGAAACGACAGCTTCTTCCCCGCCTGGAACGGTCACTTTAGACTCGCTAAGGGCGATAGTGGCATATTCGTCTGTTAACTCCAAACCTGGGAAAGGATCCGGGTATATGGAATCAGAGAATGTGTATCCAGTTGCAGCACCGACGCTACCCAATTCGTAAGTGACTTCTTCAGAACCCAGGTTCTTGATAGTGAAGTTTAGCGTGTCAACGAAGTTGTCCGTGTCATTGAATGCGAGACTGGACTTGCTTAGCAAAGTGGTCGCGTAAGCAGCATCGTAAGCTTGAACTATTCCAGAACCGAGCTGTACAACAGGCGCAAGCGACGGATAAGTTTCGAATCCGTCGTTCAAGAACTGCGGATTCGACGTCGCTGATAATATATTTTCAAGGGTAGCAGGGTCGAGAGTACCACGGACATTTGAGACGAGAGCATAGATGGCGGCGACCAAGGGACACGCCATCGAAGTGCCGGACAAAACGGCATAAGTGCCCAGAGGAATTGGGTACGTCGATAAAATATTACCGCCAGGAGAAGCGAGTTGTGGTTTGATATCCATCTCGAAAGTTGGGTTCCAGGAAGTAAACGAACTTGCGAACCCACCAGTGACAGTGTTATTCTGGTAAGTTAAACTATTGCCTGTTAGATATTACACACTGAAGTTCGTTGTCAAATTCTTACCTAACGGGCGCGGTAGAGGGGTCAAGCATATTAAGAAGAATCTCAGATCCATTCTTCAGCGAAGCAACCCATGATTCACCTTGTTCAGCTGTCACCTAATTTAAATGTTAGCTACGATGCTAGATACTAACAGAAACCTATAGCTCGTTCGCTTACCATGCCAGTTCCCTGGACCCGGGTAACCTCAGATGTAGCAGGACTCACTGCACCATCTCGGACATTATTGTAGAAAAGAACGTATTTCGCTCCGAACTGCGCCGCATTGGTTGCCTTCTGGACAAAGGTACAAGTACCGCGACGGATCAGTACAATGTAACCTGACAAGTCAGGAGTATCTTCTGGTAATGCCGTGCAGCCCTGGTCAGCCTCTGTGATATCGAAAGAGGGACTCCACAGCGGAAGACTGACGTCGGCCCATTCTCCCGGTTCTCCTAGAGCATAGCCAAATTGCTGTTGCTCGCCGCTATCCATAGTAAAGTTTGATTCTGTGAGAAGTAAAGGTGTGACCTCGCTATCGATTGAAGCGATCGACGTAACTTTCTTGCCGTTCGAAGCTGTGCTGGCATAAAATAGACCAACTGCTCCATCGTTACCGGCCGAGACCGTGCAAGGAACACCGGCTTCGACGATTCGAGATACGGCGACAGACCAAGGGTCTTCGCTCCAGCCAGAGGAACCACCGATTGACGCTGTGATGATGTTTGATCCGGCCTCGAACGCTTTCATGTAGGCATCAATCAAGACGTCATTGCCAGCACCACCAGTACAACCGAAAACCCTGAACATACCAAGGGTGACATCAGGGGCGGCACCAGTAAAACCCAGTTCGTTGGCCTGGGCCGCGATAATTCCTGAGACGTGCGTGCCATGGCCACCGCAACCATCATACGGGTCGTCGTCAGGTACTGGTGTGTTGTCGCCATTGTAGTCATCACCAACGATGTCGCTACCAAAGGTG